CCCCAATCAAAGATATTTCCAGCCAAGAGGGCCTGAACCAGGCTTATCTGTCGATCAACCCAGTCAAGGCGGGACAACTCAGTCAGACGGGCTGGGAGACTGGCCAAGGCTTGTTCGTTTTCAAGCTGAATCCATCCAATGCAGTTGATAAAAAAGAGTAATTGGTTTATATTAACAAGTATAAATGCATGAATAGCTTCTGCGTTCGTGTATGAATTTATAAACTAATACTCAATGTCCTGTAATAATGACTTAATCATTTTTATGTTGGATGATACTCGTGCAGGAATCAACAATGTAATGAGATTTTTAGAGTATAATAAATCATTGTTAAATAGACTAGAACAAAACTTTTTAAAAATTCCAAAATCTTTCTATACAATAACTTTGGAAATAAAAGTGCTGAATTCGATAAAGGTCGCACAAAAGGTACATTTTTGAATATCCTGAAGGAATATGATTAAAACTCTGGTAGTAAAATTAAAGATGAGATCCAAGTGACAAAAGATTATTGATGCTTTTAAACTATAATTGGTATGAAGACAGTTTTATAGGCAATTCTGTTTGATCCTTATGTAAATAAGACTTTGGTGACAAAAATAGGGATTCTAAACCTATAAAAAGTTAAGAATGAAACATATTTTATTGACCATTATCGTAAGAAAGATAAACTAGTCAAGATCACACAATAAAAGATGCTCAATCATCCAGGAATATTCGTAGCTTCAAAATTCATATTCTAGCTTTTTTCATACCACCAAGCCTTCCTACTACTATTAGCCAAGAAATTTTAGTCAACGTACTCAAACCAATATCTCCTATCTGGAAACGTTACAAGCCTCATAAAAGATTTTTTTTTTAAATAAAGGTTGCGACCGAATTATTTTTAGTAAGTTTCTGTTTTGGATATGAAACCCGGACTGACAAGGCTAACTTCTGGTCACAAATGCATTTTGCGACAATATTAGCAACCCATGAAGTGCTAATAGAACAATGGCATTTGTAATACATAAATTCATAAGTGGGTTGGTGCGAACACAAAAATCTTCGTGAAAAGCATTTATACATATGACAAAGAGTTGTGTTCGCTTTAGGAATGTTATAGAGGTCAGACTTGCCTTCTTCTGCTTGCAAAAAGCATCGGCGAACCCAAACTCCTTGAGGAAGTCCTGTTGGGCGTCGAAAAGGCAGCGCACAGTAAGTACTCCTTGAGCACTAGGGTTGTCACGCAACTCGTGCAGAAAAGCCGCAAAACGGCATGAGAATAGCAATGAACGCTCATCGGCATCCAGACTGACATCAGCCTGGGAAGAGGCAGCCATTGAACGGTGACACTCTATGCCATTCTGGAAGAAAAAGATGGATGACAACAGTAAAATGCACGTACTATAATCTTTAAGCCTAAAATAGAGTACATTAAAAATGGTAGTGATAATCTAAAGCATTTGGGTCAAATTCTTACAAAGCAGTCTATATGTGATGGCTACGTGCTTAACTGTGCCAGCAACCTAACAGTATCTGAGAGATTCAGTAAAGCTTACACCAAATAGATTGATTAGAAAGCCCCTAACAAAAGACGCCCGAGAAACAATTTGATTACAAATAAGTAAAACATAAGCTA